CCAGCATGCCGTATATTTCCTTATGATATTCGTTGGGTTTGGCAGAACGGAGAGAGAGGCAAAACATAGGGGATATTTCTGTCCTTTTTTTTGCGCGCGCATCATGACAGTAATGGCCGACAATTGTCAACTGGTCATAACGTGAAAGTCGGATATCATAAGTTACGTGTTATGTGTACGAACATTATACCCTATTATTATACCATATATATAAATATGTTAAAAAATAAAGACGTGCAGTGCGGTGTGGATGCAGTGTGGATATTGGAAGAAGCCTAACGGCCGTCACATGGCTGTCACGCTCGCTGTCAATAGCGACTGCGCATCCTACCTGCGCAGACAAAGAAAGAAATCTTCCCCTATGTTTTGCCTCTTTGTCCGTTCTGCCAAAGACATGCATGCTGGGTCTAGTTATATATGTCTATGTTTCAAGCTTCGTGCCCATTAGGTCTGTTCTTTATAACTGAACTGGCTGCACTAGTTCAGAGTTTATCTTTTTTTCCTCCACATTGGAAGGAGAAAGATAAACTCTGAACTAGTGCAGTCAGTTCAGCTATAAAGAACAGACCTATTGAGACTTTTGATCAGGACACCAAGAACTATAACATATTGCAATTTTAGCAAATTTCACCGGGGGCCATTTTCCATAAAGTTTGTGCGGGATCCTTTGTGACCTCCTTTTATTTTAAAAATACTATTACATTCAAGGCATAATATAGTAGTAATATGGATATGAAGAACTAAACAAACTAATTTAAAAGAAAGAATGTAATCAAAATAAAAATATATACAAGGTGTTTGATAATGATGGGACAACCGCTCGTATATGGGTAGAACACGATAAAGTGAATAGAAAAATCCTTTACCGTTTTGCAATTTTTAAAATAATAAATAAGATATTAATTAAGAAGGATTGACGAATGGTAGCGCGTTGCGCGTGGTTAGACCATGGACTGTACGATCTAAGCGTGATAGTGCGTAGCGAGAAGAATTATGGTCTTTATACGTAAAAAAATTTAATCGTAACCGTAAGACGTAAGCAAATCGACTAAACGACTAAAACTTTTTTATGTGTAATGCCTTAATACACGAGCAGTGAGCGAGATCCAGACTCATGCACCCGCTCGCTGCTCGCTTGTTACTTTTGTCGCCATGCGCGACAGCTGCTGACCCATCTAGATCGTACAGCCCACGGTTTAATGGCATGCAACGTGCTATCATTCATCAATCCTTTTTAATTAATATCTCATTTATTATTGCAAAAATTGTAAAGTAAAGGACTTTTCTATTCAATTTACCGCGCTTTACCCGTACACGAATGATTGTCCCATCATTATCAAACACCCTGTATATCTACTACTCCAAAAAACTTTGTTGCTACACTTTAAAATATTACAAAATTAATATAATATTATATATAAATATCTGAGATTACATTAATAACTACTATAAAAGATTGATAGACATTATGTTAATTGATTGATAGATATTATGTTAACATAGTGCTAAAGAGTACTAAATTGTTTTGGATCACGGAGAAAATTTTATAATTATTTTTAAAAATTATTGTAATGTGACAATAGCTGGTAGCAACAGACCATCAAGTAAGTAAGTAAGATGCGTTATGACTCCGAAAGGTCTCCCCTCTTGCGGCCATCTGGTTCGGAGTGGGGGCGATGGAATAGAGCGGGAAATTTAAAGGGAGAGATTAGACATTCTGAGAAAAAATTCAAAGGCATCCAAGACTTCGGCAGAGGGGTTTTTCAAGAGCGAAGTGGTTAAGTAAGGTGGATTTAGATTAAGTTTTTGGAGTTTGTTTTGTAATACGGTTCTTGCGTTATTGTAAAGTGGACAATTCCATAGAACATGATCAATATTTTCTGAGTGATAACCACAATTGCATTTTGGAAAATCGACAATGTTAAACCTAGCGAACGAGGCATTTAAATTATAATGGTTATTTCTGATACGATTTAGGGAAGTAATAATCTTTCGATCCAAAGATTGAAAAAAATGAAACCAAGGTTTTCTAGTTTTATTGTAATAGTACTTAAAGTAGTGAACGCCCTTTGTATTTTTCCATCGTTCAAGAAAAGAGAAAAATCGATGATAAACTTTTTCTTGGAAATGACGGTAAAAATCAGAGTGAGGAATATGTATATTTAGATTAGTTCCGTGTTTGGTAGCCAGATTGGCCAGACGATCAGCTATTTCGTTACCGAGAATTCCTGTATGGGCTGGGATCCAAATAATTTAAATATTAAGACCTAATTGATGGGCTGAGTAGAGTTTTTCTTTTAAATAAACAACCAGTTCATTTTTACATTTCAGCGGAGAACAGTTGGCGAAGGATCGTACTATGCTTTGAGAATCTGTAAAGATAATAGAGTTACTTAGTTACTGAGTTTATTGGAAATGATGATGTCAATAGCTAAGTCAATCGCTATGTTTTCGGTAGTGAAAATAGAGGCTTTGGAGGTAATTCTGTAGAAAAGAGAATGATCTAATGAGGGAGCATAGGCAGCTAAGCCTACATACAAACCAGATTCTTTCTTTGATCCATCGGTATAAAAGATGCTTTTTCCTTTGATTAAATCACCATAGAGCATTCTGAACGTTTGGTTGGGATCAGAGGATGTGTCAAAATTAGATCTTATTGTGATCCTGGTGTTAGGAGTCCATTGAAGGGCTTCAAAAGGTATCGAGTAGCTAGAAACTCTGATTTTGGATTTAATAAGGTTTTTGAAAACACGTGTAGAAGAGAAAGCTTTGAGTAGCAGAAAGGTGTTAGAAATATTGTGTCTAGTATAGATAGTGGTTGCGTTAGTTAACTTTTCGAGTTTGGAGATGAGAGGATGTTTTTCCAGCGAGAATACTCTTAGGAGATATCTATGACTGAGATAAGAAAATCTAATATGTAAAGGTAATTCACATGCTTCTGCAAGTAAAACATTAGTAGGTGTGGTGTTCCTATATCCGAGCGCTAGTTTTAAGGCTTGGAATTGTATACATTCAAATTTTTGGCCAAGGTTATAAGAAAGTCCATCAAAAATGAAGCATCCGTATTCGATGGAAGCTCTAATAACCATTTTATAGATGGTTAATAGGGCAGATGGATGAGAGCCCCACTATACCCCTCTTAATATTTTAATTA